TATCAGAACTCATTTCATCAATACGTCTTTCAACAGTATTGTTGCTTAAGGGAATTCTTTTAATGATATCAGATGCAGGTTTGTGTAAAACAGTTTTTAAAACCTCTTTAACGGCTGGCAAAATTAACTTCTCTCCGATAGTATGCGGTTTTCCGGATTTTGCTATAAGTAACGAGATATTGTAAGACGCCCGCAAACCATCATCATTTCTTTGTGACGTCGAAGCGAAAATTCTGTCCAGTGTAGGTCTCTTCTAAAGTTTATCTTTGAGTGTTTGAAAGTATTTCAAATCTTTCTGTGTTTTATCAGGGTGGCATCTTCTCAGATGATCTTGCAGTTTAGATAGTTTCATAGCGTCATTGCCCAAAACTTTGTTGCATAAAAGGCACATAGGCAATTGTTTGTCCGGCAATGATGGAATGAAGCCAAATTTCAAATAATCGACACTGTATTGTCTACATTTCTTTTTAGATTCGGACATGGAAACAGTCATCTGTGGGCAAAATTAAATTATTTAAATAAGAAGAAAATCCAGCAGCTGTATATTAAAAATATTTTTTGATTTTTCCGAAAACATTCCATAATTCGAACATCTTCTTGCAACAATTAGCTCGAATTACGGAGATTGCACTGTAATTATAATACCGATTGATTTGATTGAATTTTCAAAAAGAAACTATTGAGGAGTGCTCGTGTAATTTTGCGTGATTGAATATTAAACTATTAATAACTAAAGTCATGATTGGCGTAATTTATCTATCTTTGCTAACTACGAGCACAAAACTAAAATTTAATAAAAACAATGTACTTACTTTTCTCCAGCACTCTCAAACAAAATAACACTGACTTACTGTAAATTGTGTGATATACTATCTGTTTATATTATTTAAAATATTTTCTTAGCACTTTCCTTTTCAAGATTCAGGAAACGAATAAACGTATTTGTCCCACATTCGTATTTATAGAGTGACGAATTGAACAAGTCAGTGCAAGGTAGCGAAGCTCTGAGACTGCGACTCTCAGGTTTTTACAAGTTCAAAATGTATTGCGACCACAAAGCGAATACCAACATCCTATAACTTTCACAATTTTATAAACATATATAATAAATTTTTTACTTCATAGGTACTTTTATAAATAATGTATATGTTTTGATATTATAAGATAGTATGATGTAAGTAAATAGGTACTATCAGTGTATGTGTTGAGATCGACTATCGTGGACCCCCATTTTCATTTCATGGACCCCCAAATTTTTTTGCTGACGTAGACCCCTTGCAGGTTGTCACTGCTCTAAATCCAATATGGTGTATAATATGGGTAATACGGTGGACGCCCAAATATGGCAGACTATGTTTTCATATCATAATGGTTTGCTGAGAAGAATATAATAAAATGACGTCCGCGGCCTACACTAAACTAAACGATAAGATTAAGCGGGGTCGTGACTTAACTAAGATTGGCCCTGGCAAAAAAAAAGCCTGGCAGTGTTGAAAGAAATTCAAAATAGCTGAAAATAACTTTTTTTTATTTAGTTACATTTTTATAGTTTTTTTAGTAATAACTCGGTAAAAGTTAGGGATATTTTGGTGGTGTCGGAGCAAATGCTGTAGTCACCGACAAGGGTCATCATTCATCATTCATCATTTTTATTTCAATGACCTTACAAATCATCCTTGGTGGGAATCGATGTTGTTTCGTATAGTAAATCCTTGATTTGTTGTCTAGTAAATCTTTGTAATGGTCGTCTAGGATATGACCACGGACTACAAACTTCGAAACAGCTTTCTAGACTAAACTTATACTCAGCAGTTAAAAAGCTTTATTAAAGAAAGAACAAGATTCAAGGTACAAAAATATTCTTTGAGTTTTGTTATAGTAAACACATTTAATTATACTATAGTTTATAATATAATAAATACATACGAATATGGTAAAAAGAATCTATAGGAGAGGCTATACGTACAGTAGGAGAATTTCAATAGGCTGTAACAAATAAAGGTATGTATTAATAACCACTAAATCATTTCTTCTTTCCATATAAATCAAATTGAGGTTACTTTTATACTTTAAAATAATGATCCTAAAAGTTTCACAATAATATCTTTTCATATTCGCACATTATAATACGAGTGGTTTAATAAATGTTTATAATTTCATAATTAAATCTGTTGTACTGGAAAATCGCCTTTATTACTAAGGAAAAAACATACTTTACTATTGAGGAAAAATCTTGCTTGAACTTAAGTTAAATATAAACAGAAACTTTATAAATTAATATCTTGTAGGTACATACCGTATGTAAGATAAACTTTAGCAGACAGATCATAATGAAGTATTTGAAAACTCGCTGTGGGAGAATCTTTATCTATGACATGAAACCTAGTATATATTATTTCCAGTTCTCTATTTAACTTATATTATCAAGAAATGCTACGACATAGAATTAAATGATTCTCTTCTATCTCTTTATATAAAAATCATTTTTTGTCCGTTAGTCTCGTAGAAACTCGAAAATGGCTCGACCGATTTTAATGAATTTTTTGTGTTTGAGTAGATCGCCAGTTTGTGATAATAATACTAAAAAAATCTATGAATGAAAAGTTTTACATGTGATCCACACAGAATAAAATATTTTAAATAATATCTAGACATAGACAACGCTCTATTGAAATACTGTTGATCGATTTCCCTTTTGGCCTCGAAAACAGCACATATGTTATTTGCGATAGTCTCATGGCTTTTTCTTACATTCCCTTTGTCATGTGTACAGAATATCAGAATGCCGAAGTGTACAATCTGCCAATTTGTCGTGAATTTGTTGTTGACTATGAAAAATCCTTTGATTCTGTGGAAGTTTTGGCGGTGCTATAGTTCCTACAGTGGTAACAGGTGGACGGTCGGTATATCGAAGTGCTGAAGTGTTTGACAGTAAGACTACGACGGCTATACGAGTACAGAAACGATACGTTTATTCCATCAATAGAGAGGATGTCACTCACCTTTAATTTGCCACTGATATCGTCAATGGAGGATCTTAGCATAATGCGCAATGACATCAATAATATATACTCCTAAAGAATATATCTTAAGATGAACTGGGTAAGTCAGTCATATCAACCTCTCCTCAAATTAATTTAGAGAAAGTAAAGAAATCGCATGGTGCAAGGTCTAGACTGTGTGCGGGATGGGTCACAAGTTCCACCTTTTCATAAGCCAAAAATTATTTTGTCTTGTATACGGTGCACACCGGAGCATTGTCATGATGAAATAGGATGCCACTTATTGGTCTTCTTTCCTAACTATTTTTCAAACACAGTGGCTAACAAATGATGGTGTAACTACTTAGTGTTTACAGTGTTTAGCTCATCGATTGCGATCGTGTAGACAGGACCCGTCTGGGAGAAAAAAAATGCTGAAACTTTTTGCCCACGATTCTTCAATTCTCCTGCCCCAATGTTATTAAATTGATGTCGCATTCAACACCCATACAAAAGACTGTTGTTTTTTCCGGAATGTACCGATATATACATGTATCATCTATCACAATGTCATACACATCATTTAAATTTCAGTGATCGTAGTTTAACAAAAATCTTTACGCTAATCAACTCGAGTAAGTTTGTGTTCTGGTGTGAATTTAAGAGGCACCCGACGGCAACAAATTTTTCTAACTCCTAAATGTTAATGTTTTTTTTTTAATTTAACTTATACTAATATGCAAATGTCTCCGAATCTCCTTGCAAGTGATGCGATGGTTTTCTTCAATTAGTCGCCTGAAAGTAGCCGCATTATTCTCAGTAATCGCTGTTGAGGGTAGACCTTTATGAGTTTCATCACGAGAAACACAGTCATAATCAAACTCTGCATAGTGGCGGCTTACAGGGGGGTAGTTTACAAACATAAATTTCACTAGGACAAACATCCAGACCCGGAACGATTACTTGTTCCGTACGGGATTTGAACCCGCGGTCTTAGCGCTGTAACTCATTGCTAAGCCACTGCGCCACGGACCCATCATAATCGTTGGACTAACCGTTTTATAATCTTTTTAAAAATGAGAGAAAGGAGAGTCAACTTCTTTAAATATTTACCTGAAGGCTTAAGTAATCATTAAACGTCTCGAGTGTGGCAGCCAGAGTACTAAAATGGAATACCTCACAGCCAATGACTCTCTACCTTCAGACCGAAACACAACAGTACGATCACTGCCATTTACCGGTAAAATATGTAAAAGGGTTAATTTATATACCCAGAGGGATTCCAAAGCAGATAAGTCTTAGCACCAAGAAAATAATGTCATCTTAATAGATACATTAAAAATTTCACAGTACAGTATTTTTCCACATTGGGAGTGAAATATTTTCTTTCCATTTTTATGGGACATCCTATGAAGTTTAGAAAGAATTGTTAAAATTAGTTTAACCATTTTCGAAAATAAGGAGAACAATAATTAAAAAAACATACGCGTCGAATATAGTACCTTCTCGTTTTTGAACTCGGTTAATAAGAATGACGAGCAATTCATAGCTTTTCATAAAATTTAATTTCTGAAATACGAAAGTATTACATAATAAGATCTAAAATAAACTCGCTTTCACACTGTCGCTAGTTGGTCATTCTGATGACAGTTCTTCTGAGAACTGAATGCAATTTGCTTTTGCTATTGTTATATTTGTCCAATATGTTACATAGGTTTGAATGCATTATTGGGTTATTCTATTAAATAACTATACTTTTACAAAATTATTTTCTGTAAAAGTAAACCTTTTGTATTATTTTATAATATATGATACAAGTAATAAATAAATGAAAAGTACTTTATTATAGTATATCAACGGAAGAGATCTGCGAGTTGTTCCTCCTGAAAACGAAATTTCTGTGCATAAATATTACATTTTTTTTGTCACAGTTGAATGTCAAAAAGCAATGTGCCTAGAATGTGCTTAGAATGTGCTTACTCTAAGGCCTAAACGTCAAATAATTAATCAAGTTACTTATTACAAGTAACTTATTTTATTCGCTCTTATAGTCTCCTCAAACGCTCCTGGGGCTGAAAGAAGAATTTTTTTTAATAGAAATTATTAAAGTACTTATTAAAAGTAACTTTGCTGAGGATCATTACGCATTGGATCTCGTCATGTAAATCCAGGTTTAACTTAAACAAATTTCAACGTATCGTATAACGTAACTAACTTTATATATCTAGGACACTGATGAAATAGTATTATATCTTGATGGTTATCCTAAATAAAATAAATAAATAAATATTTATGAAGGTCGTTTATGTACCATTCTACAAAAATACGAAAATCGCGATTGTAACTTTACTCAAATTACAGACTTTTTGTCAGCAATTTTACAACGACATTGCTGCGGAGATTAATTAATCCACTAGTCAAAGGTTTTCCAACGTCATTAAATAGCTTGGTCTGCAGCATCGTAAATCCAATTTGCGTGAATAATTATACTTGAGTGTCGTAGTAAACCTGATACATGAATTGTTTTAATTAATTGTTATAATTCCATAAAATAGTTAATAAATATCACATATATGAATACGTGAAAATCGAAAGTTGAAGTACCTTTTTAAAGTATTTGTTATAAGAGGAGAAGATTGAAATTTACGTCAATTGAAAGGCACTGTGCTATAGATGTGCACAAAAGGGAAAATTATGTATGCGTGTTGCCTGTCGTTAAGAGTATAGAATTAAATGAACATACACACATTATTTTTTATACAAAGACTTTCCTTCGCGGGAAAGTACACAGTCCATCTGATGGAAAGAGGATGCTGTGGCCCATGGAGATCTACATCTATCCGCGATGAAGAATTAAAATACAGTTACGTTACAATAAAAAGTTATACAAGCTTGATATGAAGATATTCACAGTAATAAGATGGCAATAACATGGCCCAACGGATCAGTAACATGAATCGGCAATAGGCCGGTGATATAGCTCGAAGAACCGACAACCGATGGGGTTCTAGCATAGCAGTCTTGTACCGTTAATTCAGTGTAGGGCGGTTTCTCACTATATGGAGGAGGGGCCTGGTGAAAATTGCAGGAGTTTCATGGATGCAGGTAGCTCTAGACCGTGTTTTGGGGAATTCCTTGGGGAATGCCTATATTCAGAAGTGGACTTATGAAGGTCTCTAATAATGATGAAACCGGCGTCAAACACCTCAGTTCCCCCCTCCGCCATCACTACAGGGTGCTGTAGGGTATTAAAAAAGTTGAAATTATACGCCATAAAATCTGTGAAAATAGTTTTATTCAATGTGCAAAATTTACGTAAATACACATGTAAGTGTTACCATTTTGCTTTATTTTATAGTGCTGCTATTTCACGTATAGTATTTTGTGAGAATACTCTGTCCCCGTTCGAATTAAACAAGTTGTTTGTTGCAGTCAAAACATTTATGCAGAATTATTCAGAACGGTAGAGCGGTAAGATCTCATGGATCGATCCGCTTACCTCATTGTTAAGTTGATTCGAAATAACGACGATGGTATAAGACAAAATAAAACCTTTTTCATTAAAATTCGTGAGTTACGATAACGAGTAATATTAATATTCGAAATCCACTTCTTTCCTAAAATTTAATAACATCTTTATCAGTTGCGTAGCATGTGCTTCAACCGCCCGGGATCCGATAGAGTCGGAAATTGATGCCCCACCCCCTTAATTTTCTGACTTAAAATGTAAGTTAAAGTTTTAGATAATCTATATATATATATATATATATATATATATATATGATATATATATATATATATATATATATTTCAACCTCACTAAAGTCTAAAGGAGGAATATTTTCCACATTGCTAAGCTTGATAGCGGGACTGGCGACTACTTTTTTTAAATTTATTATAGGGAAGATGCTGCTGCTCTCTTTCGCTTCTAATGAAACCGACACGGAATGACAGGACTGCGGATTTTCTTACGCTGCTACTACGCTGCGAAATGGTTTTGATTTGGAATATTTAAAATTCAATAGAAGGTAGAAGAAGAGGGACAATACAAGCCACTCAATATTTGATGAAAGAGCTATTTATCATAGCTACGCTTGATATTTTAAAAAGCAAGAAGCAGATGGTTAACGCTCGCTGTAAATATAACAGAACGCGAGTAACACGGGTTCGATCGCCGTCGCCACCAATGAAATTGTTAATTTCAATTTTAAGTGCTGATGTACCACGTGCTCGGCGATGAAGGAAAACATCGTGAGGAAATCTGCATGTCTGAAGAATAAGAAAAAAATATTTCGAAGACGTGTGAAGTTCGCCAACACGCATTGCGACAGCGCGACGGACGCTTCCTTGCCCTAATACCCTCTCAGAAATGGGGGAAGGCCTGTGTCCAGCAGTGGGACGTATAATGGCTGTAACTTTATTCTAAGAAGCTACATAATATGTTAATATTATATAACATATGGCCCAACATGGCACGTTAACATTTGGAGTTACAGACACATGTATAATGAATATTGCGAATTCTTTTCCTGTAAAAGAAACTTTGCAATTACTTTATACTTAAAGTGATGGACTTTTAACATAACATAAACACTTACGCCTGTCACCCAAGGGAGTAGGCAGAGCCTACAAACTTCGATTTGGCACGATCCAAACACACATCTGTCGCCTTTTCTGCATCCATATACCTACGCATATATTTTTTTTATAGAAGAGGGAGCAAATGAGCACGCAGCTCAACGATGGTAAATGACTACCGCCGCTAATGAACAACCAACAACTGCAACGGAACTGCAAGTGCGTTGCCTTCCTTTAAGAAAAGAATAAGCTCTTTTCTTGAAGGTCCCGAAGTCGTATCGGTCCGGAAAAGTCGCCGGTGGTAAACAATTCCATATAGAAGTTGTACGAGGAAGAAAACTTCTAGTAAAACGCATGGTGGTGGACCGCCAAGTATCCAGATGGTGAGGATGGTATCGTTAATTTTGACGCGATATGCGTTCGTGAAATTTGGCGGCTGGAACTAATCTGAACAATTTCTCAGAACAGTCTTCATGGTAGATACGATAGAAAACGCAAAGAGATGCAACATGCTTTTCGATTAAGGGTACTCTTAATTTGACCCATTTTCAAACTTTCGCCTAGAACGTCCCTTTCCGACTCTGCCATTCACTTCTGAAACATAAATTTGCTTTGTTTCTCTCTCCTCATTCATTCTTTCTCCATGACCGAACCGCCGAAGCATTCCTTTCTTAATCCTGGCCACAACAGCTTTAACTATGTTATTGTTTTACCCTACATAACTACAGTTTTGTTAAAAAATTAACAATCCAAATGAGTGTGTTATGGCTGAATCAGAATGACAGGGTGAGAAATTGTGTAATAAGAGAAGAGTGTGGTATGCAAGATCATGATCTTGCAAACCACACTCTTGTCTTGTAAATTTTCAACTTAAGGTATTTCTTACAATTCACCGCTGATTTACTAATAATATTGTACATGAGAAAGTGTGTTTGTTGGTTTCTCCTTCGGTTTAAAGATCTTTATTTCTCAATAAGACAATAGTCGCTTACATGAGAACAATAACTATATGAACTTAGTAATAACAATTTTTAGTGCGGGTATAAATAACTTTGTTGGATGTCGCTTTTATAAGCGAATATCTTTGTTGTTTATTCAAACTATAAGGTGGTGGTCCAAGTTTAATAATGTTTTTTATTTTTATTTACTAATCATTAAGGTTGGGTATTTAGCTGTTGTGAATATAGGTAAGCAAGTAACTTCTGTTCGAAAACATTCAAAGATTTCGCCTCCTTTACAAATTTAGGTAGTTTGTTGTATAACTGTGCTCCTTTATACGTTATATTATTTTTACCATAGTTTGGTCTTACAGGCGGCAATACAAGGTGACTAGCTCGGCGTGTTATTTATTTGTTTGTTTGCTTCTTTGTTAAAAACGTGAGTTGTGTGTGGATTAATTTATGTTTCATTTTATATATTAGTATGCATGTGCTATATGTATAAAGTTGAGTAACGTTAAACAGTTTAGTTTCCTTATATATTGTATTAGTTGGTGTTAAAAAGTCATAGTTATACAAAATTTTATGATACGGTTTTGTAGCACTTGGAGAGGTTTAAGATTGGTTTTGGCTGCATTACCCCATACCTCTACAAGGTAAAGTAAGTGAGGTTTTACTAGAGAGTTATATATTAGGATTCGGGCTTTTTTCAGAATGCATGGAACTATTTTGCGAAGGCGGCTAACGAGAGACGAAAGTTTGTTTTTAATATGCGTGAGGTGTGCATTCCAAGTCAAATTACTGTCGAGAATCAGTCCAAGGTATTTTTCTTGATTTTTTATTTGTAACGTTTCTCCGTTTATAGTCAAAGTAAGGTGGTTTTGGTTAGGGAGTTTCTTGTTCTTGGCGCCGAAAATTATATATGAGGTCTTGGCTACATTAATAGTTAGGAGATTATACTGAAACCACTGATGGAGTAAGTTTAAGTCTTCTTGAGCTAGTGTTATGATACGAGATATATTGTTTCCAAAGTAGAATAAACACGTATCATCTGCGTAAAGGGATATTTGACCTTGTAAACCTGCTTGGTTTATGTTGTTGATATACACTAGGAATAGCAATGGACCGAGGATAGAACCCTGAGGCACGCCACACGTTAAAAGTTTGGGTTTACTTTGAATGGATCCAATTTTAACTACTTGGTAACGGTTGCTCAAGTATGATGCCATCATTTTGTATACTTTTCCAGTGATGCCAATATTTTGTAGTTTTTTTTAAGAGCAAATTATGGCTAACTGTGTCGAAAGCCTTTTTTTAGGTCTACAGATATTCCCAGGGCTACTTGTTTTTGATCAATTTTTGTTTTTATTGTAGTTATCAGGTCAATTGTTGCTCCCAGGGTACTAGATTTTGATCGGAAACCATACTGTTTGTCATACATAAAGTTGATTTCAGTTAAATAGTCGTCTAATCTCTTGTATATAATTGTCTCTAAAATTTTGGATAGTGTAGGTAGAACTGATATTGGACGGTAATTTTCCGGACTAGATTTCGTACCAGACTTATAAATTGGAGTGATTTTGCCTATTTTGAGGTTGTCCGGAAAAAATCCTTCAGTTAACAATCGATTTAGGCAATTAGTTATATTTTGGACTACAAAATTTTTGATACATTTGTAGCCTTGATACTAACTCCGTCTAGACCTACGCTAGTATTGGGGTCCAGATCATCAATTATTTTTGTTATTTCATTGACGGTGCATGGATCGAATTGAGACAGTGTACGGTGCGACATGCCAGGATCAAGGCTCGGTACTGTGTGTGTGGTGTTGTTATGGAACTCACGCGGTATTTTATTTGCCAGTTGTGTTCCTATTTTAGCAAAAAAATTATTGAATTTTTCACATATTTCTAGGGCATCCGAAATTATTATACCATTTTCGGCTTTTAGGTTTGGTGGAATACAGTGATTAACATTTTAATTATTTGACAGTGTTTTTATAAGATTCCACATTTTTTTAGGTTTATTTCTACATTTTGTGAATTCATCGTAAAAGTAATTTTCTTATGTGTTCTTGATTTTTTGTGCCAGAGAATCTCTTTTAGTTTTGAACTCTTTTTTCTAACTGTTCATTTTTTGGATCACGTTTTAATTTACTCCATAGCACATTTCTCTCATTAATTGCTGCTATTAAATGCCTGTTAATCCACTCTTTTTGGGGTTGATTTAGTATTTTAATTTTTTTTTGTTTTGGTTTCACTAATGAGCTTTTTAATGTATTCATCAAATTCCTTATAATCGTGTGTATTAATTTTAAAAGTTGATGTTTTAACCATCTCGTATAATTTCTTGAAGTCTGTATACTCGTATTGTATTCTTTGTTTCTTTGGGGTGATAATTTTTTTCAATTCCACATAGATATTTTTATGATCTGATAATGATGAGTCAATTATGGCCATATGAAAACTGTTTACGTTTAAATTAGTAGAAACGTGATCTATTATTGTACACGTTGTTGTGGTTTCCCGAGTGTTATATTTTGGATATATTTTGTTAATCAACTTGTATCCGGATTCAGTTAGTGTTGTTTTGTAGCGGCGGGCTGAACTGTCAGAGCTTAATAAGTCAATATTTGTATCACCAAAAATAATGGTTCGTTTCTTATGTAGAAGTTGTTCTTCATAGTTGAATAAAAAATTGTTGATGTTTGTATGTCCAGGCTTGTAGACTACTCCAACATTGAGGGCGTATTTGTGAAGGCGAATACTCAAGTAGTGATTTCCATCAAAATATATTGCAGTGACAAGATCCTGTTCCAGATTATTGTGTACGTAGGTAGAAACACCACCACCGATGACATTAGGTCGTAAATTATAGTAATGAGTATAATTTTGAAGATGAAATTGTTTAGCTTGGTCGTCTGATCTGATCCATGTTTCGGCAAGTAAAACAACATGAACAGTTTTTTTTAAAGAGTGGATGATACAATTAAGTTCGTCAAATTTACCTGGCTTGCATATACTTCTCACATTTGCATAGAAGAAGTTAAGGCTTGATTTGGTAGGAGTAATATTCTGGTAATTGTCTGAAATTTGATGGGTGATAAGTTTTTGTTTAATCATGTTTGAGGTCGTAGGAGAATTAATATTTTGAGCTATTAGTTTTTTGTGTTCTTGGTAGAAATTATTTTCGGAAACCCTTTTATGTATTTAATAGTAATATCCTGTTCCCCATTGGCTATTCTTTGGGATAACTCAATCTTCAGATCTTTTATATATTTCTGTTGTGCAGGTGTTTGGTCAGAGAAAATTTTTATGCCACTCTGGATTTTGTTCTTGTTGCGCAGTAGAAGTTTGGCTGTTAGCGGGGATTCAAAGCATACTTTAATATTTCGATTCTTCCAGGTGTAAACTTCCCGAGTCTAAAGAGTCTACTAGGCTTAGGATAGTCCTCCACAATTGTATTAATAATTTTTGTTACTTCGCTAGCATCGTAAGAACGCCCTTCCTCACTGTTAGTCACATTTCCCTCTTGTAAACCCACTATGATGATATTTCTTTCTCTGGATGTACGATCTTGTATTTCTTGCATTATATTTTCCCCAAGGCCAGATGAGTGTAAGTTTATGGCAGTCTTACTTTTAATTAACATGATTTCAGACTCATTAGCATTAGTTTTGTTATTTATCTGTTTAATTTCTGTCATCAATGTCTGGATTTTATTATCTGTATAGTTTGTTTTTATTACTAGATCTGACAGCTGGGTCTTCATTAATTTTTGCTCGTTGTTCAGGTTTACAGCAGCTTCTTTAATATCATTTAACTGGGTTCTCATATCTACTATATTTTCACGCATAAGGGTCATTGTTGTTTCTTGCGTGTCTGTGAATTTTTGTAGCATTGTTGTAAGGTCTTTACGTAACTCTTGAATTTCAGACGAACAATTGCAATTGCAAATACTATGTTCTGGCTGTTTGCGTTTTCTATGAGTAATTTGTTGTTCCATCGTAAACTCGTTATTAGGTGACGATAAATTAGTGTACGAGTTACTTTTTCCAGGTGGTGAGCGTCTGACATTCATGACTTGTACCATACACCAAGAACGACGTCACAACAAATCGCTAGTGCAATGATGTCTTTATACTAGTGCTCGTATCTTCCCGGTATCGAGACCGAGATGAAAAATATAATATTGTCTTTGTTACCCGAGGTGGTGCGGGGCGCCTTTGTGGTTCTTGATCCGTATCGGCTAGTCGTAAGCGCACATTACACACTTGTTGAATATTTTGCTTTATTATTTTAGATTAAGGTTTACTATAGCGAAAACACAGTTTTTTTGCTTTTAAAGAGACAACCAAATGCACGTCTGCTCAGTATAATACCGTACTACTTACTCCCTACATCTCCTAGCAACAGCGGAGCAACGGGTCGACATGATTTTTTGGCAAAGAGATAGCCAAAGGGTATAAAATTGACTTTGTCCACTTACTTTTGTCCCGAAAAAATTTGCGATTCACATGAGACAGATCAATGGCATAAATCATAACAGATTTCAAGAGATCATTCATAATCATCAGTATTATAACTTAAAAACTATACTTTAAAAACTTTTTTTGGCTGTTTCGATGTCAACAGTAAACATACATAGAAAAACTTACGCATAGAATATAGAATTTCTTCATCTTTTCAACCCCGTTAAGAATGGGGTGTACTATATATTTTATTGTAACAAAGAAGTGTTAAGCGTTTGGCGATAGTCCAAGAATACTGTTGCAAGTGAGAAAGTCTCATAAGTGAAAAAACAAATAGAAGGTAAAAAACTTGTATAAAGTTTTATTTGTTACAACCCTTTGACCTCGTTTTATTTTACTATTTTTACATCAACATTTTGACCCTCATATAAGGTCAAGTAATAATATCGAGGAAAAAAAGAGCTATCACAATTATTCAAAACTGCAAACAAAAAATTAAATAAAGATTACCAACAACATAGAATACAAATATTAGAGGAGCATCTTAATAATACTGGGAGTCTCAAAAAAGCTAATAAACAATTAAATAAAAATAAGAATTGGATACCACAACTTAAAACAAATAAACACGGAATTCAGACAAGGAAAGAACTTGTCAATATCGCAACAGAATTTTATAAGAACCTCTATGAAGCGCAGACTATAGATACTCTGGAATCTGAGCAAACACTAGAGGAGGTCTATGACTCCACAAGTATTGATAAGTTCACCGAAATAGAAATCATCAGAAACATAGACAACCTGAAAAATGATAAAAGTCCCGGTCCTGACGATATTCTTAACGAAGCTTTGAAACTTGGCAAACGTCTATTAGCTGCGCTTCTCATGGAACTGTTTAATAGAGTTTTAGAAAAACGTAGCGTTCCCAAAAAAATGGACAGAATCAAGAATTATTCTCTTGTACAAAAAAGGTGACCCAACGAATGCTAACAACTATCTCCCTATAAGTCTGTTACCTGCGATATATAATCTTTTCGCATTGTGCCTTGAAAAACGGATAGGAGGTCAAATAGACGAACAGCAACCTACAGAACAAGCGGGCTTTCGTAGAGGTTTCTGCACCATAGATCATATCCATACGTTAGATTTAATAATTGAAAAATTTGTAGACTTCAGTAAACCTCTATATCTCGGATTCATAGACTACGTAAAAGCATTCGACTCTATATCCCATGAAAGTATATGGAGAGCTCTCAAACAGCAAAAAATACCACAAACATATATAGCTATCATAAAAAATATCTATGAACAAAGCACAAGCCGAGTTAAACTTGATCGTATAGGACCTGAGATCAAAATACGTAGAGGAGTAAAACAAGGCGATCCTCTTTCACCTAAACTTTTCATAGCGGTACTACAACACATTATGAAAGACCTGTCCTGGAATAAAGCAGGAATAAATCTCAATGGCAACTATTTGAACAACCTTCGCTTCGCCGATGATATTGTTATCTTCTCCGATTCACATAAAAAACTTGAAGCCATGATACAAGAAATTAACAATGTAAGCACAAAAATAGGCCTAAAACTAAACACCGAAAAAACGAAGGTATGCACAAATAGCACAAAACATCCAATAAAAGTATATGACATAGAGCTTGAATATGTAGACCACTATAACTACCTAGGCAAAAAATATATTTTAAAACTTCTAGAAATCAAGACGAGATCGATAGGAGAATTGCTATAACCTGGAATAAGTTTTGGAAACATAAAGAGGTACTCAAAGCAGATCTACCACTAAATTTAAAAAAGAAAGTCATGGATTCCTGCATACTACCCTGTCTCACATATGGCTGCCAAACATGGATCTTCAATAGACAAACAAGGAATAAAATACTAACATGTCAACGTGCAATGGAAAGAAGTATCCTAAACCTAAAACTAAAAGATAAATGCAAAAACAATGACATACGCAAGAAAACGAGAGTGATAGACGCATTACATTACTCTCAAAAATTGAAGTGGAAGTGGGCAGGTCATGTAGCACGATCTACAGATACCAAATGGACTAAACGAGCAACCATGTGGACAGGACCAACAGGCAAACGCAAGCAAGGAAGACCGAAAGAAAGATGGGTCGATGAAATTGAAAAGACAGCAGGAAAAAATTGGTTAACAATAGCACAGAACCGAAAAGAGTGGGAAAAGATGGAGGAGGCCTTTGCCCAAAGAGGGGTCCTTAATTGAAATATATATTGTATTTTATTTTCTAAGCGTACATATAATTGTTGTATTGTAATTATTTTCTATTAAGGAATAAAGAGGCTTTATTATTATTGTGGGATATCAACATAGTTTTCTCATCTGGTTGGGTTCTATAAATATATAATTATAAATGAAAATGAAAAGATAAATATACATAAATATCAATAACATAAACTAAATATAAAAATAAATAAACAAATAAAAGCCCAACCAGATGGAGGCCCTCGGCAGGGGAGACCAAACGGGCGAGGGTTAGGGGGAAAGGGAAAGAAACTGGCGGACGATGCGGGCGGTATCGAGGAGCACCGCCTTCTGTTCGCAGAGACGACTACAGGAATAATTTCGGTCGGCAGACCACCCCACATGTCGGTCACCTCGTGAGCCAGGTCCAGATATTTTGTTTGCTTATCTGTTTCGGCTTTCACGAGGTTCTCGTCATACGGAATGGTAATGTCGAATTATTATTATTAATATCGTTACGGTAGTACCCACATAGTATCGGGTATATATTGGAGGCAACGAGATCATAATTATTAATTATTATAATGCGGTACAATGCTGGAACGTCTAATAAATAGGTCAGCTTTTATTTCCTTGTTCAGCTCTTTCCATAATATAATGGAGCATACATAGTCATTATTATAAATTATTTCAATACTCGTAAAATTAGCGTATTTTTTTATAGAAATTCATCCGATAGTAAGTTGATGCTGTGACCAATAGTAGACGTGTAAACCTTTCCAAGATTAAAATCAAAACGCAGATGCGTTATCGACCCTAAAGACAAAGATGAAATGCCTCTACACTCACCATTCGAAACACGGCAGCATTAAGCTCCTACTGTTTCTGTGCAAACATGGACCTTCAAGTTCGAATATAGCTGCAGAATGGCTCTACCGCGTTTAAAGTTTGTGCATATTGAGCGTATGTTGATGTAATGTGTATGTTGATGTGAGGTAATATAATGTGAGCGATTATATATATGACGGCTCCGCGGCGCAGTGGCTTCGCAATGAGTGGCTGCGCTAGTGGCCGCGGGTTCGAATCCCGCACGGAACAAGTATTGTTGGCCAATAATTGTTCCGGGTCTGGATGTGTCCTAGTGCAATTTATGTTTGTAAACTGCGTCCCCGCGATACAGGAGAAAATCCTAGTGTAGGAATAACGTTTAAAAAAAATAAGAATATATATATATATATATATATATATATATATATATATATATATATATATATATATATATATAGCATACCTATTTCGGCATACTATAATGTGAGTATACGATATGATATAATATAGTTCTAAGGTATGTGATAAAATTCTTTTACAACTTTTAGTATCTTTTCCTTTATTTAAATCGGGTATGCAACATTTTTGCATATTTATACGAGGTAGAGCCAAGTTGCATCTATACAATATGTAACGTAATAAACGCACACCCTCAGACACCCCAATTAGTATATTATGTTATAATCATAATACATACACTGATTTTTAGTTAAACATTTTTATGCACTGATTATTTATCAAATTAGTTATACTAATTCCGGAAGAATGTTGTGGTCACAGTACAAATCCACGAACGCAAAGACTTTAACGTGCTTGAAATAAAGTTCATTTTTCTTTATTTTTATTGAATGACAGAATTAGTAATAACACAAATAAAATTGCACTCTTAAAAGTCTTATTGCCTTAAGTTACGATCCATTTCAGTTTGTTTTGTCTGTACAGATTTAGTGTTACTGTAATTTACGTAGTTTTAATTATTTTTGGGATAAAAAATTACCTATATTGAAAATGATAGGAATCGATTTAGTAAACGATTCTGAACAAACTACTTTCTCAAAGTGCGTTAATTATGTTACAGGTTGTATAAGCAGAAGTAGAAGGAGAAGCAACACGCTCTCTCAGAATACCAGCGTTAAATAGCAGCTTAATACTGCTATGTTTCGTATGGTGAGTGTAGAGAACCGGAGACCCTTTTTACTGGAAATGATGCATTCCATCTTAGTCCTCACGGGTGACAACGCATCTGCATTTTGATTCGTAATCCAGGATAGATGTAGATGTTGATGGGCCACACCAACCACTTACCATCAGGTGGATTGTGTGCTCGTTTGTCACCCTATTCTATAAAAAATATCGTTTTTAACACTTTTCTTTCTGTCTTTTCAAATAAATAAATGGTTACATAGGCGACTTTTAGCTATTGAGTTTAGTTATCAAGAAAACTGACTTACTATAATAATATTGATAATATAACAAGTTGTATCTGTAAATGGGCTAATCCCGGTCAGCCTCTATAACTTCGCGTAATCAGACGCGACTGGGACTACGTGAC